ACATTCCTAGCTGTTCGCATTGCAGGTTGAAAGGGATGATCAAAGGAATTGGATCCAAAACGTTCGGGTGTTCAATTCTGCAAACGACAACCGGGATGACTGTACTCCGTCTTTACAATTCCATCCCATGCTTTGAAACGGGTTTCAATGAAACTGGTTTGAACATTACAATCCACTTAAAATATAATGAGGTAACCTCCAATACCCACAAACACAAACGGCGAGGTAGGACTAACAATCATATCACTTCTCGAAGCTATAGATTCTTTGCTACGTACGCATTTGTCTAACAGTTCCCATTGATCGTCCAATTACTTGACACAGCTGTTCATGACAGACACTGACTAATACTCCTCCAAACCGTTTTGTCCATGCGCCAGCTTGACCTGATTGCCGGTCATTATTTAATCGATTGATGTACTCTCACGATCATCCAGTAAATCGTTAACCCGATTCCGATACGCACGCTGTCTTGTGTGTTCTGATTTTCTGTGCTGTGTTACGGGCCCTAAATTTCTGTGCATAGAGTCGCGATTGGAATTCGGTCCTAACATTCTTATTACTCAAAAAGTAGAAAAGATTGGATTTCTAATCTATTAGATTTTCTCATATTCAGGGCGAATGAAGTGTACACACAAAGGGAAGCACCATACAGCTGTTTCAATCGGATTGGTTCTCATCAACAGTGTGAGAAGATCGACCTTCACTGGGAATCAAACTTGGGACCTTGCATGCAGAACGCAAGCATATTTATTACATAACCACACAGATACTGAGCGAATTTTCGCTACTCTCACACAAATAGTGGGTAAGTTGAAATGTCTCCAACGGAGTCTTAATCCTGGCGGCTAGTCCAGAGGTGAGACATATGCGACGCCTGCAATAAGCTCATGAAACTGGTATGATCTGTACCGGGTAGGATCTAAATGACATATGTTCTTCTTTCTGTGTGAGATACCCGGCTCGATAGACTTGCACAACTGACGCGTCACAATCAGAACGAAACAGATGAAACGTGTATCCTAGATTTCCTGTA